AAAGATATATAATTTGAATAGATCAAAGAACGATTTAAGATTTTATTTTAGTTTCATCCACAGGTAATAATAATAGTCTATCATTCACGTATTTCTTTATCATCACAAATTATTTATAAGAGGAATATAAATTTTTATTTAAGTTATATGTGCAACTTATGTTACATTTTAATAATATATAATTTGAATAGATCACTTGAAAGATTTAAGATTTATTTTATTTTCATTCATTAGTAATAGTAATTGTTTATCATCCACACGTGAAAAGGGAAAAATAGAAGAAAGAGATGTTAGGGTTATGTGGGTAATTTGGAGATTGTATAAAAATATTAAGGGTAAAAAAGTAAAAATATGGTCAACTTAAAACAGCTTATAAGGTGGAAAAAAAAGAAGCACGCCTACCCTAGCTTTTAACTTTTGGCTTAAAATAAGTGTTTTTTAAGTTAAAATAAGTTATTTTGAGAATTGTCAAACAGCTAAATAAGTCAAAAACCAGCTTTTAAGTCAGTTTGACCAGCTTTTAAGCTGAGCCAAAGAGGCTCTTCATTCATATAAATACAGTACATGCTATTGGGAACATGGAAGAATTGAATTAACTAATGATCTTATGCACTTGTCTTCAATACAATTTGACCGATTGCAAAGGGCAAAGTATCAATTAATAACAAGGTGAAAGAAACATTCAGAACTTGATAAACAAAAGACATCAAGAACCTGAGAAGATCTGCTTTTCTTCAGTGAAAATCCAAGATTATGTTTCCTCCTCAAATAACCTACTGGACTACTGATGCAACTTTGCACTCCTCTTTTGTTTTTCATATGGTCCACTAGTCCATGTCTACTCCGCGATATTACAGCTCTCAATCCTAGAAACCATGTCGCAGCCTGAACTTTATCCTTGCATATCTGCATTGATCCGACGGATTATGAGTAACAGTATATGAATCAATGTAACCTTTCCATTAACTTTTGAGAACTAATGAATAACTTACCAAATCAAGAGAATGATCATCATTTCCATATATTAGAGAAATGCATTGACTATCCATCTCTGCCTTAAGTTGTTTCTGTTGATTTACCTTATTAAAAACAACAACGAAATCATATAATGCTAAACTATGGACAAGCTTGATTACAATATTCAGCTAAACAAGTTAGACTGCTTCACTACTTACAGTGTTTTGGCCACGGATGATATTTGTAACTGCACTTAAGCTCAGTTTGTTTTCCTTCTCACCCGAATACCAAATCAAAAACTTCTCATCCTGTCAACAAAGAAAAATAAAAGATCATTTAGATCAGCAGCTAGAAAACACATTTGTCTTTCGACGTATTTAGTTGACAAGTTCCATGTAGTGCTTTACCGCGGATAACCTGAGAGGGCAGAATTTGGGCTTCCCTCTTCTACCATACTTCAATAACGCGCCTTTCTTCAGCGCAATTATTGCCTGTACAATGTAAAAAATTGTAAAAAGAACAATGCAAGTACAAATAATACTTGTGCTTGCTGAACGAAATGTGAAACAGAACATGTATATATAGGATAGTGATGAGACAATCAGCAAGCATGCTGAAAACATGAGCTAATTAGCTCGATACACGCTAAATCATCTACTATATAAGTAAACAGACACCATATCGTAACTGTAATATGTTGTATCAAGCCTCTATAGTATAAGGTAATCACAATTAAAGTAGAAACCTGTTCAACAGCTCTATCAGAAGGGACAATGGCTAAATGCTCTTCACTCATTTTCACATGTAAGTATCTACAACTAAGAATAATAAACCTTAGTACAAAATGACCAAAAAAAAAAATTCCTTTTCTTGATTATTAATTCTATACTTTTTTTAAAAAAAAAACTCAAAAAGTGTTCCTTGTAATCTTGGGCCATATTGGTGCAGAGAGAAATAATTGTGATATATACATTTTCCATAAATACATGTATTCTTTATAATTTATTTTAAGCAATAGTATAAACACAATTACCACATATGATATGATATGATATGCCTTTTTTTGCTTATTTTTTTCACTATATATTTTTATTTTTCGTTTTTTAATTTCTCAAACACTAAATCCTACAATTATTTTTGCTTTTACCATTTCTTCAAACCAAAGATTCAACATTTTTTTTAGTTATCATCATTTTAAATTTGTGATCTAAAATTGTTATAGGCGTTACTATAACTATAAATTATATCATTAACTAAAAATAATGGTTAAAATTAAATTATTTTTAAAAATAATATCAAAGTATTATCTTTTTGGAATAAACTGAGAAAAGAAACTGAATCACCTTAATTGCGAATTAGGAGGGAAAGTATTATTTTTCAAAGTTTAGTATTATCTTTGGAACTAATCAATTTACCTTTTTTTTTGGATTTGTCAATTATATGTTAAGATATATATACTGTGATTACTTAAGAGGAGGAAAAAATGAATATTTCAAAATTTTGAAATTCAAAAAATGAAAAAAATGAATTTTTTAAAACAACATAATGTGCATATTTAAATTTCAATCTAATCTACTTCCAAAATTTTAAATATATCTCTCGTTATAATTTCAATCTAAATATAATTTTAAAATTTTAAATATATCTTTCGTTATAATTTCAATCTAAATATATTATTTTGATAGTATTAATTCAAATATACCATTTTCGTTAGACTTGGACACAAATTGGTTTTAAATTTAGATGGAAGGACTATGGCAACCCCCCCCCCCCCCAGTTTTAAATACGCAATTATAAGTGTAATTTAAACGTATGCAAATTAAATTGATCTTATAATAAAATAGTGGGGAAAAAATAACAACACATGACAAATGAATTAAAGAACAATAACAAGTAGAACAATGTATTAGAGGTATAAAGTGAGCATGTGTCATATGGAGCTTTTGTAGTTAAGCTTCAGTAATAGTAAATGTTAGGCCTTTCTCATAGCACCTATTATAAATGAGTCCAGTCTTAAAACGAACACTTTTTGAAGCCTAAATATCAAAAGGAATCCTTTTTAAAATATACATTAAAAGCCGATAATTGGCGAATTATAACTATTATTTTTTTCACGTTATAGTGTCTGTTAACTCAAAATTTATCCAAATCAATATTATACAAATCTTAAAGGTATATCGCTCACAAATGAGCGAACTATTATTCTTTTTGCTAACTCTGCTCATGTGAATTTATATCTCTTTCTTCCTCATATGAAGCTATATCTCTTTTTTCAATAATAGATATGAATTATTCACTCCACATTTTTCACTCATCTTCTACTTTTTCATATTTTATATTTTGATTTCTGAAATTTGATGGTCATGTGTCATCAACAATCTGAAAAAGTCTTATATTCTGTTGAAGTAGACATTTGTAAATGCATTGAGAATTGTAAAATGAAAACATCAAGGACTCCAAGAAATTTCGACTATAAGTATTGGAGTTGTCCGCATTTAAAGGTAAAAAAATTAAATTGTTCACTTCAAATTATTTAAATATTCATCACTTGTTTCATTGTTTTGTTATTTAGAAAAATGATGGATGGTATTATTTTCAATGGACAGAAAACATGCTCATAAATGAAACTAACATTATTCTTTCACGGGTGAGGAAACCCTTCTTTGATGGTGATACAATGACTTCATACATCAATATGAAATTTGTAGAAGATAGAGAATCTTCTAAGGACATTGTTAAGAATCAGAAGAAAACTAAAATGAGCATCTTGGAGAATTTCTGGAGTCAACTGTACTAGGCGTCGTAGAAATGAAATGGACATTGTTCCAGGTGGCATCACACAACAATGTAGTTTATGTTGGGAAATTGGTCAGAGGAATCGTTATTTCCGTCGATCTTACTAGTTTTTTTTTTAATAGTATTGTAAGCAAATAAATAGTGAGTTTTTTTTAATATTTCTATTATTTAAAAAAATTATGAATTTATGTATCAAAAAGATTTTACGTTACACTTGAAATTGAGATAGATATATATTCAAGTGAGAAGTTGACAAAAGAATTGTAGTATATTTGTGTAATTTTAGTTTGGATCAATTTGGAATTAATGGGGATTACGGTGTTAAAAGATGGTAGTTGTAGTGCACCCATAAATGGACGAATTGTTCGTATTGGTGAATATTTTTAAAGAGGATCACTTTTAGAGTTTAGGATTTAAAAAGTGTCTATTTTGATGTCAGACTTTTATAAGTGACTAGTGATCCATCAACCCAAACTTTATTTCAATGGTTGATGGACTTCGAAACTTTATCTCATCCTTATCTTACTACACTAGCCATCCACCTACCCAAAAATTGTTTTCACCGCAATAGAGTTAAGATATGAGAAGATTTGTTATTTCTCTTCCAAGTGTCTTTTAGTATGAGGTTTTATGCCAATGTTACATAAAAACATACAAAAGGTAGTCGTAAACATGACGAATATTCTAAACATGACATTAGAAGGAAGATCACAGAGACAGAGGAGGTGGATACATAGCATCAAGGATTTCAGATCATGAAGTGAAGAGTAGTGGAGAAATTAGAGTTAAGAGACATCCACATAAACAAATATACTTCATAACAAAAATCAATTATTTTCTTTTTCTTTGTCACTCTTGCACTCAAGCTATGGGAGAGTACTAGGTTAGCATCTAGGCGTAATTATGAATGAAATCATCGTAGGAGATCATCTGCCAATTTATGTAGAGACAAGTTGGGACAAATTCACATGATCATTTTTGTCAACATATATATGTATAGCCTATTGATCTCTTTATTTTTTTTATACATTGAGCATTTAACAAAGATTGCCATGCATTAATTAATGTCCACATGTTAACTCTTGGAACATATTATCAAAGATTGGTTCTCTTATTGAATATTGACAATGGCAAGGTGACATGCTGCAGAATTGTCCCAAATCAATCATTTGAATGCCACAAATTATTCATGTGGCAACTGACTCTAGACTCTAGACTCTAGTAGTTGTGGGAAAAAAGTGATCCATTACTATTAAATGCGTTGCCCTAATTCCTGTTCTTGTTTAAAAAAGTGTTATGTATAAAGTTGTAAAACAAATTTCACAATGACTTTTCAATAGTCCCAAAAGAGACAATTCAAGAAGCACAAGACCAGAGTTTCGTGATTTGCCAACTATGTGGAACAAAAATGTCAAACCCTAAATCTTTTTTTTTTTATGACAAGGAAAACAGTAGCCGTAAAATCTCGCTCCTACACAATAGCTCACAGACCACATAGAAAAGGTAACTGCACTAGGCAAACCTGATGCGACGAACTCGATCCAGAAGGCAAACCCTGACAAAGGGTTTCAAACTTGAGATTTCCAACATGAAGGTCCCAAGCTCAAACCACAGGGTCACCCCGAAGGGTCTAAATCATTTATCAACTTAAAAAAAAAAGACTTTTCAACACACAACACATTGCTATGCGATTTCATCTATGAAATAAAATTACAAATTCCGTAAGAAGTCTAATTTGAGAATTCATAATTTATATTTTTCAAATACGAAAATTGACGCGCACAAATATATATTTTGTCTATGTTTCAGATCATTCCAAGCTTGAGGGGTTCGAAAAGGCATAGACAGGAGCTAGAGGGAAAACTCTCATCTAAGATATTATATGCACTTGTTTATAGTAACTGAGATATATACACTATCAGAACTAAACAATTCCTGTATCTCTTGGAGAAAAGCTAATTCAATATACAATTTGCTATATGGTGATGGGTTCTTGTATTTTGACATACACACAAATATGAAGAAAGTACTCAGGGTTCATCAAATTGTTTACCACCCATGCAAAAGGAATCTCCATCTTTGGTTCAATTCCCTGAATGCGCAGGAGCTTGATCTCAGCACCATCTGAAATAGAGCAAGAGACGATGCCCTCATTCAACATCTCCCCACTTCGTTCCGTGTTGCTCTTGTTTGTTTCTTCTGGAGATGATCTCTGTTCAACCTCAACTTCTTCTTTAGATACATCATCTGTTGGCGGAAGTTTTTCCCCAAAAAACTCGGGCAGAAGTTTTGTTACTGCATCATACAAGGTGAAGCATTTACCTGCAAGGAGAGAGTACTATACATCAATAATCACAAAAATTTCCTGATTAAACTATTAATGCAGGAAAAGTTCACCCACGTTTGCTTTTGGATCTTCTTTGCCCTATCAAATACTACCTTCAACTCAACTACCTAGGCTACAAAAACTTTGCTAGCACCACTTGTTACACAATCACACACCAACCTCCCGTGACTTTTTCTTCCCATATGAGATTGGTGATCTTCATTGCAGGGGACTTCTTTTTTCATACATTTTTTATTCCAAGGTTGCTCACAATCCATCCTCATCCAAAGCTTGTCTCAGTTCTACCTAAAATTTAATTGTGGTATAAAGGACCAAAAGATGTTAGATTACTTGCATTAGCTTATTCTACCGAAGCAAAACTGCTAGCCTCCCCACCAGTCAAACATTTACCTCATAGGAAAATAAAGACTAAAGTTAAGCCTGAATGTAAAATATAATCACCAATGTTAAGTATGCGTTGATGTTCATGAAGTTACCATAGGTTTGAGTCACTGTACGTGCACAAATACAAATTGAAACTAAAGACAATATGGGGCACATTTCTTACCATCTCCATGGATCTGAACAGGTCTGTTTATGTAAGAGATTCTGTCCCAACTTTCAACAACAGGTGCATCTTCTAACTCGTCAAAATCCTCATTGATAGTTCTAACATACAGTCGAACCGGTATTCTACCTGAATACAGCACCACCAGAAGACAATTTATATGGGAGTTAGTGTATAAAAATTAGGATGGAGTAGACCATTTTGATGATCCCCAAAAAGATCCAAGCAGCAAGAATGCATCATTAAGGAGACTTTCACTAATAAACGAACAGTGCTATATACACTGCTAAATGGACAAGGGTGGTTTCAATCTCTAAGATAGCTTCCCAAGGAGACTTTGACAACTGATCTCATTGACCACTCCTTTCATCCCCACCAATAAACTACTGAAGCCCACTCCAAATAGATGCAGAACAACAATAAAT